CTCATTGTAAAACAGCAAAAATTCAAAGTGCTTTTACTATGCCTAAACAGGAACTGCGGGCGTCATTTGTAACACAAACATCAGAGTAAATTGGTTTGGGTAGGGACAGTCACACCTTTAGGTTCCCTGCATTTGGAAGTCAACCTGTAAGAACGTTAAAACCAAGTGACTGCTTCCACAGCCTGGAATCTATAGCATTGTTACCACTGAATCAGAATAAAACTAACCTGATTGCCTGCTCCACGGACAGCAACTTTATTAGTGGTTGAGTCACAATCATCTGAAAATGCAGCTGCATGTCCAGGTTTCAATGGAGTGTTGTAAAGTTCAAGAATATCATCTGGAAAATGGAAGTAAGCACAGAAAAATTAAAAGCAATTCTGATTAAGTGCTGAGTGACTTTTTGTTCAGTCTGTTGCTACAACAGATAAAACCACTCAGTTTACTCTAACTCATTCATATTTACAAAATGTTTATATCTTTCCTTGAAGTAGAAGTGTTTGATTACTGTAAGTGATGGCATACTGACCTCAGCATAAAGCCAGTGGCAAAAGGCTAAGAAAAGGTCCCATACCTTGCACTATTATATCATCATCCACATAGATGGCCTTCTCTGCATGAGGTACCAAATTGGGCAAGTAGAATCTTGCAAAGGTTAACTGTGAAAACAAGAAAGCAAGAGAAGTGAAGAATTAAATGAAAAGTTGTCCAAAGAAATGTGAAATTGACTGATACTCCTGGCACTTATCTATGGCACTAATGTCCAAGACAACTTCAATCAAGGAAGTAAAATAGGCAGCAATATACTAGAAGTTACATAAAATAAACACATTCCATCAATTCCTGGTTTCCTATGAACTTCTGCATTGATAAACTAACTTTAAAACTGATCTATATTAGAATTTCTTATTTCTCCACATATATATGTAGTATCTCTGAGGTGTTGGCATGCTTGACATGCAAGCTGCTGTGTTTCACTGTAGCTAGCAGCAACAAAAGATACTAGGCATGCACATGTAGACATTCAAATCCATCTCTCACTATCTGGAAATTTAATCTTACTGAAATTTAGTAATTTGATTATAAAAGACTGCTTCTATGATAACAGCTTTGGTTTTGACCTCTAGTGATGTTCAAAAGCCAATAGCAAAATATATTGTTACCAACTAATAATTGCAAAAAGTAATCAACATCATCCTCACAGGTTTTAAGGTGTCTGCCTTTTGAGGATCCACTGGAACTTTCCCTTCTAAAACACGAGGGTCAAAATCCAAAATTCGGTATCTCAAATTTTTCAGAGCAGTGTTACTCAGCCACAGCCTACAAACAGGAGAAAAGCATACATCTTGTTAAATGAGACAAAACCAAATGAAAAGCAAGAGATCTGATTGACAGTGACACAGTTCTTTATCTGGCCACTCGCTTCTCTATCCAACAAATATACATATAGAATGTAATCTACGACTGATGTCAGTGCTGTCCTGTATGACTGCAGGAGCATACAGCACAGCTGCAACATGTGAAAGATAGAAGGTTGCTTCTTATTTTATTAGAAATACATGGTCCTGTTATCACAGGTCCTTCACAAAAAATATCAGTGTGAACGGATGTGAGTAAACATAAAAGGATCAAAGAACAATCTAGAAAAACGGAGAAACTTCATTGCCAGCATTTGAATTGCTTAGATGAAATGTAGGAAGTAACTTTTACAACCTTCCCCCCGCCCCCCAACGAACTCCAACTCCACTGGCTGGATATAACCCCACTGGAAAAGATGCCTCTTTTCCATCCCTGAAACATTACCAGAAGGAGTGGCTGTAGGACTCCCCACAGAAGCCTTGTCAAAAAGCTGCAGTAAGCAGCAGCAGACAGGACTGCAATGTAGAGGAGTGCAGTTCCAGGGAAAGTCAGCTCCTCCTCTTCTCAGAGATACTTAAGTTTTACCGTATTGTGTGAATCTAATGAAAAGATCATTACCTCAAGTGATCCACAGTATCATTCAAAGTAACAATGTGGAAAACCACATTGGATCTGGTGTGACGGTAAATACTGTTCATGGCTGCAATTGCACCCCCAAGCCTCTCATCTGATGCTGCAATGACCACAGAAATCTCCTTGTCATTCCTTTCATCTGCCAGCCTCTGGGGAACTGCAGGTATGAAATCTATAGGCTGAAGTCCTAATGGATTTGAATCTGTGGAGTACAAATGGCATCACATACTTTGTTTTACACAAAAGAAACACACATTATCACCATGCTAAAATTCCCAATGCCTTTGATTATTTCTACTATGCAAGCGCTCGGATGTCTCAGCTGAGGTGTGGATTACAGCATGCCAGTATCAAACACTTAGAACGCCTGCTCTTAAGAATCTGAGATGTTAATGAATAGGAAAACATCACACTTACAAATAAACTACATACGTTTAACCATACATATTCACACACAGCACAACAAGGTACTAAAATGAGGCTTAAACTACAGTAGGCTGCACTTACCTTTGGTCCCCTCTGCCATGTCTATAATCTCACTGACTTCCCCGTCCCATTTACCCTAACCACCTTCCTAGTCTTCTCCACATCATCCTTCCCTTTTTTTCCTATACTTTCTTTTCCTTTTAGGAAGGAACCAATGAAGAAAACAGAAATTCTCAATTAAAGTCACTGTTGCGAATTTTTTCCCACCAAAGATCAAGGCATTAAGTACAGCCCATGTTTACTCCAGGGATTACAGATCACACTACATCATCTAAGTTGAAACCAGAAGAATTTATACTCACAGTGTGCAGATAGGAAATGGGAGATCAGTGTTGAAATTTATTACTAGACCACATCACCTGTAAAAGTTGTGAAACTGCCCACTACCTGCACTTTTTATAACAACTCTGGTACCTTTCAGATGATCTAGACTATTACATATTACATAATTTTAGGTAATTTGAGAAACATAGCAAATAGGGACCTGGCAGTTTGTGGGCAGTAGTCTGCTGTTCACAAAGCTGGGCTTCTGCTTCTGTTTGCCGTTTCCTGACGACAGAGCTCAAGAGCTTTGACTTCAACTGATTCCTGGTTAAAGCCTGTCAGGCTCCTGTTCAACTGCTGTGGGGAAGCACCTGTACAACTGCTGCCCAGAAGCAACAGCTCCCAGGAGCAGCAAACTGCGACTTGGCAGCTAATGGGGACAGGGAGAGGCTCTGGGGGACCACACGCAGTTCTTAAAAGTGGACTCCAGAAAATGAAAAGGCTCTGCTAAGTAAACTGAATCATATCTTAATGACTTCTAAAGCCAGAAGGAACTCCTACTGCTATTTCGCCTGGCCTCCTGACCGGTAAAAGTCACACAACAGCAAGAACAGATAAGCCAACCACGCTGAAGTTTCTTGGGTATGAAAACAGGAAAAGATCTACTCATAAAAGAGTACAAAATTGTATCTTGTTATGCAAATGATTGATCGTTATCATATACATTATTTCAGCAACGTGGTGGTTTCTGTCTGGCCAGACCATTTGCTTCCCCACCAGTCTTTAAAAAAAAAAAAAAAAAAAAAAAAAATAAAAAAAAAAAAAAAATTAAAATGAAACCCAACATACCTGACAATTCCCGTTTCAAGAAGTCACTGAGGCCTAGAAAGTTATGATGAAGAACCAGCAAAAATATGACAACAGCCACTGTAAGGATGGAAATGTTCACTGAAAATTTAGAAGAAAAAAGTTTATCAACATAACCAGAGAAAGATTGGGAAACTCAGAAAAGTACAAAAGAGATTTTTTTAAAAATTAGACACACACATATACACATACCTTTCCTTAATGTCATTTTTCTCTTGTTATTTAACCTATTAGCATAAGGTTCCTGCAAACCTGCAAGAGAAAAAATACAGCAGTCACTTCCTACTTCCAGTGCATGCCCACACAAGGCATAGCACACTATCTCCAGGCCTGTCAAAACAGATTCTGAATGCAGTGAATGTTTCCTTCTCTTAAAAAGATAAAACTGCATGTCACATTTTAATATCCAAGTATGATATCTCAGTAAGTACCTAGCTACAATGATGTATCTAAAGAAGAACTCAGAGATAAAAAGGGAGGTATACAGATCTTGCCACTTACTTCACGCACAGAAAAAACCCAAACTCCTCCAGGTCAAAAATGCCCCGAAAAAAATCTGGAAAATTACGTATGGTTTCTTTACTGTCAAACCAATTTATTTAACTGTCTGAACTGGAAGCATCCCAGCAAGAAGGCAAATGATTATACATTTCATTCCATACTTAAATAACTGCAAGATTTTGGCAGAACACCGAGTTTATATTTTAACAAATAGCATTATACATTTTCAAAACCATGACATTCTCTACAGAAAATGTAACAGAATATCAGCTGAAGTGTCACCACACAAAAAAGATGACAAAAGTGTGAAAGAAGGTATTGCCATCATGTTGTAGAAGGAGGTAAAAATACAATGCAGTGATGCAATTTTGGTATGCAATTCAAACACACTTACTCATTATTTAATGGTAAATGTGATTGTGAAATCAGAGCAAGTACTATACACCCTGGACCGTGAAGGAGCTCTCAAATAACACACAGAAAGCACTCACAGCATAACAGCATGCAAAATTCAAGAAATGGTGACAGTTCTATATTAAAACACTTGCAAAATCTCCAAATTAAAATACCGCGAACTGTGTTGTGACTATTACGTACGTCAGACATAACCATCTTTTTTCTGCTGCTGCATTTCTCCCATGGGGAAGAGAGGGTTATTGAGCACAAGAAATAAACGCTGTGTGCCATGCCTACGGCACTACTGAAATGGGTCCGGACACGTAGCCTTAGCTTACAGGCGTACAACACAACGCCTCTCCTTAAAATGATGTTTCAATGCTCCTCAGTCCCTGCGGCAGCGATGCCGAGGGTGCACGCACATACATACAACTTCTGCCCTTTACTGACGCTACAGCAGCCTGTGCTAAAACCACTTACAGATTGGCTTTTCCAGAAATTATTGTCAGCGCGAACACAAACCCACGCTAAAATACTCAAAACACCTGCCCAACGCTACACTGCCGCAATTTCAGTCACTCCGGTGCGCCGTTCACACAAAGCTGGGCACACGACTACTCCTCCCGCCCCCCGCTCCGTTTCACCGCACCCTCCAGGGGCTGCATCGCCCGGCACCACAAACCGCGCTCCCGCGCAGCTCCTCCCCCACGACTCGCGGCAGGCACAGCCCAGGCGGGGGCCTCAGGAGCCCGGCTCCGAGACCGACAGGGCAGGGCCCAGCTCTCCTCTACCGAGACTCCCCCGTTCCCCTCACCGTTCGCCCGCG